ACATATTTTCTTTCTTTTTCTTGGGTCCCGTTTAATAGAATCAAATGGTTCCAAATCGAGATTGGAAGATAAAAGCTGTGCAACTTCAGAAGATAAAATTGAAGGAATAGACACTGTAATAATTAGAGTAACAAGGTTCTTCCTTTCTTAGTCAGAATTGGAGTGGGTTTGAAAAGGTGAATCAAGCGGCCAATCAAGTGTCGTCAATAGCTCGATGAATCCTGCATCGGAGGTAGTAGTGTCAGATTTATCCCGCACGTTTCAATATCAAATTTAGCACCTGACAAAGAAGAGGTCAAGATTTCGATGAACATGAACATGATGATCCGCAAGAGCAAAGAAACAGTGGAAATGAAGGAAAAATGAAATAGGCCTGCTTGATTAGTAGCCCCCAACATTTAATAAATGTTTACGTTATGTATGTTTGTACATGTATGAATAGTTGTAGCGAACTTTGTGGCTACTTCTAGAAAATGGATCCAAAATATGCTTTCAAATGACTGATTCTAGTTGTAACTTATGTTCTTATTATTGGTTGAATACAAAAGTGTGTAACAAAACCAATCCAAAGTGTTTAACAAAACAATTCCACACATTACATTCAAAACTAAAGATATATGAATACAAAGGTGTTTAACAAAACAAATCTAATCCAAAATATTTAACAAAATCAATCTAAACAACTCATTCAAAATTAAAGATCCATGAATACGATAAATTCAAAACTATGAATACGATAACGTTTTCGACATTGAATATTGATGATGTTGAGACGCCTGAAGATCCTGTGTATCAACTGGCGTAACACTCTGACTGGGTTTAAGTCTCCTTCCTTTGCTCGATGTCGACGTTGCCTGCATGTGAAAAAGAGCATACGAGAATTTGTATTCGAAATCAGAAATAATTTGAACAATAACGTTTTAAGATACCTTTGCTTTCTTTAAACTTAACTCCAATGGGCTTTTGCTTCGAGGTTTATTCAACGCACCCTTTCTTCTCGACGCTATAGGATCCAGTACGCTCCCACTCACAATATTTTATGATATAGTACATGGATGCCTAATTGTACCGTATGATGCACAATGACATTATTAGCAGTACTCAACCGTATCAACGTAAGAATGTTACGATGCGATTCGATCCACTCCATTATTGCACGAGTTTGACCGACATCATTGGCTGCAAGTTCCACCGCCACAGCAAAAGATTGACACACACTGTCATATCTCACCTGACTAGGTGTACTAAGCAACCCATCGTAGTTCACTATGACCCTTATGTATGACCTACTAAAATCTCTCCTCCATTGTCTCAGTATGTACCTTTCAGGTAGTGATGTGATATCATTACGGATCAAGAGCGATATCGTATGCCTACAAATTATTCCTCGAAACTCGAACAAGTAACGGCCGCAAATCATTTGACAATTTCCCTCTGAAATGAGACAAAAATGATTTTTTTTTCATTCGCTCGCCACATACCACAACTTCACGTACTTTGTACATTGTCCTAAAATATTTTTGGAGCAGATATGAGATTGCAATTCATCTTCCATTTGAAATCTTCCTAAACCTTCCTGAATTTTGAGATGGTGTAAACTGACTAAAATTGCTTCTCCAATTCAAAGTTACATACACACGGTAACATTTGCGAATATGACTTGAAATCATCTTGAAACTCCTTATTAACTTTATTCCATAGTGCTCATTCGTACTATTCCACAAACTGTTTAAACGATGTCTTTGAATGTACATATCCATCGAAGAATGCATTCAAACTCTTACTTCTTTACGTTGTTGACATTCCTGCCCAGAAAGTGGTTTTCAAAAAGCAAGGACCAATGATTTTTGTTCTCGTATAGTCTCGATAACCAACCATTTTCATGCAATTCAAACTTA